GTGGAGAATCAAACGGCATTGCGTCATGCGCCGCAATCGATATAAGAACAAATGGTTCGTATTGTTTATCGTACAGAATTGTAATATAGGTTTAATTTTTTTCCCTCATTTAGTATGTTTTTCGGTCATCATWATAACATTGTTTTTGTAAATTTACCGTCATAATATCCTCCGGATAGGTCTTCGCCGTTTTGCCCTTTGTCTGTAGTCGCAGAATCGGCCCGCCACGGGATGCGGTTACTGGCAGGCAGGTGACCCGACCTCTGCGCTTCGTAGAACATGAGTGACAACCGCAATACCTCATCGTAATCGTAACACCTCGCCACACCGGCTAAAAGGAATGATGCCAATATAACACGATTCATCTGTAGAACATAAAAATATAATATGAATAATAATAAATGTTAAAAATCGTAGGTAGGTATATCATYAAAGTTATGGCTGAAAGAAAAAGAAATAACATAATGTTGTATAGATATCTATAGATATATAATACAACTCTGTATCGTCAAATTGCAATATAAATGCAATCCTTTTAGTAAAAAGTTTGCAAATTTTCGTGACTGACGAATTTTATCAGTTTTATGCCAATAAAATAATCCGTGCCTTTGTATATTGAATATTATTAAATAATTATATTAAAACAATAACTTATCGGGAATCTTATAAACAATTTTCAAGCTTTTTGACCAAGGTTACCAATCAATTATTTTTTAAATAATATAATTTTTTTTTTACAAATATGATTGGATTTTTTCCCCCAAATATTATAAAATTATTGAGAATTTTTGTTTTTAACCAACCAAAATTGCCAACTAGATCCAATTTGATACTAGAAACCTCCGTCGAAGTTTATGATCCAATTTTTTTCTACTAGAAATAGTAAAATGTAAAATCAACACATTCTTCGCCTCTACGTTCATAATCTAAAAAATGTATTGTAATTTTCAAAGAAAATTAATTTCTTTTATAAAGTAAGCACTGATAACATTAAAACGGTCTAATATCATCAAAACATTTCTCAATTAATAAAACAAAATTTACTGACCATCCAAATAATTGTGTTGGCATTATGGCTGTCASTATTATTTACTYAAACCAAAATTTGGTTCAAAAGAGATAGAGAGTAAAAATAAAAAAACATAATATTATATTTAATATACACTCTAAGTACATAAAAAATAAAATAAATATATATTTCAACTTAATTGATTTCTGGTAAGATTCGGCGATTGTTCGAGACACTACCAAATTTAATTTCATTAAAAAATCAAAACATATTATATTTTAAGACACGCTATAGAAATAAATTATTATAGAAGTGTCGTGGACCTTCACGTGATTCTCGTGAAATAGTATTTATTGTTAGACAAGCACGTCTAGGAGTACCTATGTGACCGATAGGTCATTTTTCTTGACGACTATCAAACTAATGGTTCATGGAACGTTATTGAACTTAACGCTATGATTAATGTACATAT